GAGGACCAGGCTATACAACTATAAGACATATGGAGAGAGCCAAGGGACTTGCTGCATTTTCAATGGGGGCATGCTCATCAACAGCCATGTTCACTTACCCATTCATTTAACTAATTATTTTGAATTCTTATTTTTTGTGAGGCATTCTTTATGCAACCCTTCATGAGCAAACAAGGCCAAATAATAAGCTCATAATTTTGAAAAGGTGAAAATGTTCTATTAGTAACCCATTTCTTTATACAACCCATGCCACACTTTCAAACAAGAAAATTGAATATGACCACTTCTGTACTTTCCAAACTCATTCTGTAATTCATGCCACTAACCCATGGGCCAGTAAATAACAATCTACATATCCTTCAAAAATGTAAAGAATGAATGAAACTATTTCATGGTCAGTTGACTTGAACAGCTGATAATCAAAATAGGCAACTACTTAATTGATATGGATTCAGATTAAATACCCCAACTCTCTCCATCCATCTAAAAAATTCTCTATTTCTTTAAATTCTCACCACTCAAGACTCACCTAAGCTACTGAGATTTTTTTAAGATACACTCATTAGCCTTAGAAAGCATACTCACTGTGAGCATTCTATAACGTAAAGGGCAAGGCTATCTGTATGAGCAGTATAAAGAACTAGGAAATCAGTTCACTGCGTGGTAAGTGAGTCCCTGGACACTTTTAACAACTCCGCAAGTTAATTGTGTATCAAGTTCTCCATATAAACAGTGAACGTAGAGTATCTTGGCAGGAGGCTGGGAACTACTTCACCTGAAGAATTTTGTGCCTGTTGTATTAGATGACTTAAGAATGTTTTTTGCTTTATAACTGGGCGATGATATTACATACTTGACAGATCAGACAGCACTTGATGTGCAAACCTTAGAGGCATAAGTCAAAACCTATTCTCTTCCTTACAGTTTTTTGTCTCTTATCTGAGGAACAAGCACTGTGCATTGGAAAGTGTTATGCAAATAACGTTCAAGCATGGCCATCAATTACGTAGGCCTTTTCCATAAAAAGTCATCAATCTATATCTGTTGAATGCATGACAGATACAGGATATTACCTCATTCCCACCTTCCAAAGTTTTCGCTCATGAAAAACAGCACATCATTATCAAGGTGTAATGGTGAAAAACAAACATGTTATCTGTAACCTGATGCTTACTTAGAGACTTAGATGTAATATTATTATCATTAGTTCTATCCTTTCATTAGTACATTGTAAATTCATGAGTTTTTTGTGACTTGAGGGGGAATGTCAACCACAGTCATTGTTGACAGAGGATACTTTGTGTATCTGTTCAGAGTATCTGTCATGAATGCTAGCTTTTGAAATGCAAGCCATTGGGAAGTCAAAAGTAGCACTCACTAAAGTTTAACAAGAACAAGGATCACCCAAACCAGACTTAGTTCTCATGGCCTGCCTCTATACAGCAAGCAAATGCAAACAGGGCCTGGAGTGACATCACTACAGGCTGTTCCCTTCTTTTGGCAAGTAAGAACTCAGGAATGGACTTTTTTGTCATTTAAAGAATCATACAGATCCCAATCCCCCTGCCGGTGACTGTGGTGTGACACCTTGCACAGCCTTGGTGCAGTGGAAAGGGGCTTGGACCTGCCTAGGCTCAGTGTGCTGGGATCTGCTGACTCCCCATGGGAGACCTCGATTTGGGGCATGTGGGGATGCGGGGTGGCTTGGGGAAGAGGGCTGGGAGTGGGAGGAGGGAGGAGGGAGGAGGGGGGGTCTATGGATAGTATGTGGAGTGAGTAGAAGATTTCTTAATAAAGAAAAATGAAATAAAAAAAGAATCATACAGGACTACATCCTAACACCTATAATTCTAAGAGATAGGACTAATTCCACTCGGCTCATTTCTCAAACACAGTGACAAGGCTAAAAAGGCAGTATTCAATATCTCTCCTTGAATGATGCCCTCTCAACCACTGGAATTAGATTTCTATCAGTAGCCGAATTTGATTAACAATTAAGAGAATACAGATGAGGAATCGAAGTCAAGATTTCCACTGGCTCTATAAAAATGATTTTGGGCAGCTTTAGTAAAATAACACCAAAATGATGTGTATAAAAGATATTAAGTACACATATAAATATATATTTACACATATAGATCTATAATATATGTTAAATTCATTTGTATTATATAAAACTAATTGTTTTGTGCTATACTTCTTTTTTTCTATCTCCAACTCACTTTTTCTTTCATAAAATCCCTAAAGGGAGTGTCATCTGATTTTTATATGTATTAGAATGGTAATGACCCTGTATAGATCAATCTTCCAAATGCCCAGTAGCTTTAGATGCATCTATACTTAAAGCACATTCCTATTAAGCTTTTCCTAACTCATCATATATTATTTTGTGTATTTTTTGTGTGAAGAATGTGATGATGGGAACCTAACACCTCATCGTTTCACAAATGAAGAAAATGATGTTGAAAAAATGTGTAACTTACAGGTATGCTAGAGTCACAGAAGAGCAGGGGTGGAGCCAGGCCTCCCACCTGCTCAGCGACCGTGTGCAGTGTTCTTCCCACTGTCCCACAGGTCATATCACACATCACATCCCACTGCTCCCAGTCTTTGCAAAAGTAAAATGACATATGGTTTGAATTAGGAATGGGACTTGAAGGGCATGTGTGATAGAAGGAGGAATGCTTAATGGAAACAGTGATGCCAACAAATGACATCCCTTGGCACTTTGCAAGCGTGTAGGGGATCTAGAGACAGAATCCAAGCTCCTAAACTATCAGTCATCGAGGAGGTTTCCCTAGATGTACTGTGCATTTAGGTTTTCCTGGGTGTACTGTCACACTGGGTTAGAGGATTTCTTTTTTCATTTTTGTCTTTGGTTAGGGGTATGAAATAGACTGTGACAGTAAAGGGGGAAATAAATGCCCATCAGCCCTGAAAGATCATTTCTTTCCTCACTCTCCTGGTCCAGCCACATAGCTCATGCTTAACTCATACTCTCAAGACAGTCAAGCTATTTAGCCCATTGTCCGGCTTCCTTCCACACTGCACCCTAATACCAGCTTTATCTCCTCTGATTCATTGTTTACATCCTCCATTCATGCGCTGTAATTGAGTTTGTTTAACTGCCTATTGATTTCTGATCAAATAGTTTAATATGACTTGTCTTTTTGGTTCTTCATAATCTGTTTACATTTTCTCTCAACCCAATTGCTTCTTTTTCCAGTAGAGAATTACCACCATACCAACATCCCTTTACTAAATGCTCTTGCCTTGCCCACTCCTACCCCGAGTTCCTCTCTTTCTTCAGATTCTCCCAGTACCCACACATATCTTCCATGCAGCTTCTTGTCACCAGTCCACATACAGTGTGGAGCTCTCCCTTCTCTGCGTATCTGAACTTTCCCCTAATTGTTCTGTATTGTCAGACTGGCATTCCCGACTCAACAGAAGCACTGTAAGTTCAAGAACCACATCTAAGAGTCTCTTGAACAGTCTTCTACCCACTTATCATATACTTTTGCATCTTGTTCACTCTAACAAGATGAAGACCTTCTCTACGGGATAGTCCAGACAAGAGAGAGGATGAGAGACCAGTTGCATCCAAATGATGCTGATAATAGAATCAATGCTTCCTCTGGACCTCCTTCTCAGGTGGCTCACTCTTCTTGTTCCACATCACTCTACACTGGGTTAGTATGAACTGCTTCTGCTGCAGGCTAAGCCAGTCCATTCTCTCTAACCTGGGTCCCACATCCAAGCCACCTGCTACCAGGTCGACAATCATTTTACTTTCCTTCCCCATGCTGGAGACACAGCCAAATGAAATTTCCACTTAGAACCCATCCGTTTGTCCACCTTGGGATACAGTCTCATCCCTTTCCACAGGTGATAGGTAGCCTGTTTCCAGCCTTGAGAGAAGGTTTAATAACACGATGACACTTGGCAGGCAATGTCTCAATCTTCCTTAGACTCCACCTAAGGCTAGAAAATATCACTAGCATCCCTTCCCTTCCAGCATCCTCAGGGACCTCGAATCAGAGGTCTTAAGACGGTTAGACTTTCCCATCAGACTGTCTTCTTGTCCCCTACTCAGAGCCTGAAGCTCCTGCTGTCCTTCCTGAGTTCTGGTTCCCGGGCACCAGCCTCTCCTCTTCCCCACAGCAGAAATCACAGCCGTGGGTTCTCAACCAACTGGCCTTAATTTTCCAAATGAAGAGAAACATCTCCTCTTGTGACTTCTTAAAATGGGAAACAACAGATCCTAAGTGAGGCAGGTTCTTTCTTTTCTTTTTTTTTTTTTTTTTCATTTATCTTTGCTTAATTGTCGTGAATGGAAGCATCACAGAAATGTCTCAGAAGAGAGCACTTTTCCCTCCCAGCTCCAGTTACTCCCTAATTGAACAAGAAAAAGAAGAAAGAGGAAAAGGTGTGTGTGTGTGTATGTGTGTGTGTGTGTGTGTGTGTGTGTGTGTGTGTGTGACTGTCTCTCACGCGTGCGTGCAATGATTCCTCCTAGGCCACTGCTAGTCTCAACAGCGGTCCTGTCTCTCACACATTCCTGGAAAACACACACACACACACACACACACACACACACACACACACACACACACACACACACACAGCGGCATGTTGCTCTCTCGCCCTTGCATGAAAGGAGTTCCCTCCTCTGCCTCCTGCTGGTATCCTTCTGAGTGCAAACTCCCTTGCTCCTGCCTCACCCACCGGCTATGTGCCTCCCGGGTCCCCGCAGCAGAGACCTCCTCCAGGCTCTGCTCCTGGCACACCGCCCTGGCAGTGCCACCTGAGCGCAGCCCAGCAGCGGCCCGCAGGGTCCCTTCCGTCCTGAGGCCTCGCACACAGCCCGGGAAGCCTCCAGCAGGTGCAAGCCAGAGGCGGGATCTTAGCTTAGCTGTCTCCCTCTTCAGATCAAGGTTCGCACGACGCCAGCACTCTGTCTTTCCTCCTGATCTGCAGCTCCCAGAAGGGACACTTACCCAGGGCAAGAACCAGGAGCAGCGACAGGGAGCTGACGCCGCTGCCCGGGGCGGCCGGGTCCATCAACCGTGCTGTGCGGGGCAGGGCAGCCCCTGGAAGAGTCTCCCTGCTCCTTCTTCGTGCCCTTCCCGGGCCCGGCACCGAGAGGGTGCTTGGAAACTAATCCCTGAGCCAGGAGGAAACGAAACTACGCAGCAGGCAGCCTGGCTACAGGGCAGGGAAACACCCGGGGCGGGCAGCCAGCGGGTTCCAGTGTCGCCCAGCGCTGGGAGCCTCCTATTTATCCTGGAGCCTTCTGCACACACCCCCGAGAGGCGCACCACTTGGTGCTGGTAGCCTGCACGCTGCTCCCACCCAGCTGCCCCACACCCATACCCACACCCAAGGACAGACTCAGATGGCCATAGGGCCAGCTCACCCACTCCCCCTGCTGGGTCTCACCTGACTGTTCATTTATCTCCCCCCTGGGGGAGTAAGCAAGGTAAAGTGGGCCCAGACCAATGGCAGAAGATGACCCTGCAGCCAGCTTGTGGCCTCAACTCATGGAGCCCTCTGAGGGAAAATCAGAGCCAAACACTTGTGGAACTCTCCATCTGGCTATGGCTGGAGTTAAAGGGACCAGAGCCAAGTTCACTGAAAAAACTCAGGAGTTAAAAGAGAGCAGAGCCAAGTTCACTGAAAAAAACTCAGGCATTTGACAGATGATACAGAAAGGCAGTTTCTCAAGACTCATAGCTGTCTGTAAAATTCTTAAAGGTGACAGCTCAGTGTCTTCTATTAATTTATTAGCTTCTATTAATTGATTAACGAATTCTTTGGTAAGATTTTTAGCTTACCCAAATCTCCTTCAGAAATTTCATGTAGCCACTGCTTGTGGTGGTGCATACCTGTAATCCCAGCACTTAGGGCTGAAGCAGGAGAACAGCAAGTCCTCAGGGTCACCCTGGCCCACATAGCACAATTTTAGCTCAGAAACTAACGAACGAATCAACTATGTACACAGATAGATGAAAGAACATCATTTATGTTTTATTTATCCATTAGATTTCATTTATCTGTCCTCTTAATTCTAGTTGGATCTTTCCAAATAAGGCTTTTTTTTTTTGACTTGTGTCTTGCCCAACCTTGTCCCTACTTCATAACATTTGCTATGAGAAGTTGTTATGCACTGAGCAGTTTCTGGAACTCCAAAACACGCTCAACAGCCTTCAAAGAGGGATAAGAGCTTCCAGTTTTACCTTATATTATAAACATATTTGCCTCTGAAGTGGCCAAAGGGCTTGGGTCTTGGGTACTGACTTACTGATCTTGCAAAAGCAATACATAAAAGCCACCCATCTTCAGAAGCTGCATTTCTGACATCCAAGAGAACAATAAACATCTCTTACATGTGAAATGTAAGTCAAGCATCTGCCACTTCTTTCTCATCCCATTGTATAAATTAAGCAAGTGACATTTTGTTTCTAGACCAATCCTAATTATCTTAGTGCTTTAAGCAACTAACATATCTGGAAGAATGAAAATCGACTCTTCGGTTTTTAGATCCATCCATTCTGGTTTCCCCCTTAGAGCCCTGGGAAAGAGGGCTTTCTGCAGGAGAGGGTGGGGTCTAGAGCATCTCAGGACTGGGGGATAGAAGGTCATGCCCCATGGATGCAAAGGGCAGAGTAGGGGAAGCCAGTGGGTCTCAGAGTCACTGTCACGGGCTCAGCACTTCTCTGTGCTCTCTTCTTCCTGGCATCGTCTCCCTCTCTTATATCACGGTATTCTCTGAGATGCACCATAGTCAGCATCTGTGGTCTTACTGCCAGCAGACTCCTTCAGTCCTCTTATCCCATCCCATTAACTGTAAATATAAATTTAAAAAAAAAAAGAAAGCACACCTAAGCAAAGCATACTGTATATTTGTTGAGAATTATAAAGGGCCAAGACATGATATATGTATTTAGCATTCCGGACATTCAAATGGTAAATTAACTTTTTCAGGCCACTAGAGGATGAAATAGTGTAATTTAACATACTAACTAGGCCAGATAAATTAGTATCTTTCCATGAGAGCTTTATTCACTGACAGAAATAAAATAAATGCTCCAAGAATATGTCCTCTAGAATTCCTAGTCTCTTCAAGGTCAAGAGAATTTCCCTTCCTCTTTTCCACTCTTTCTTCTCCTTCTCTTCCCTCCTCTCCTTCCTTCTCTTCCTCCCCCTCCACCTTCCCCTCTTCTTCTCCACCGGCCACCCCCCCCCCAACTCTCTACTTGTTTATGGAGGAATTTAAATCTGAAATCCAAGCTTTAGTTTCAGAAAGCTGGAGGTTTAACTTCGGTCTTCCTGTGTCCTTATTCTTCTAACTAAGGTGTGTCTCAAGTCTTCAGATCCCATGCTGGGCTGTAACCAAAGAGGAACAGCTCAGTGTGGCACAGGAGTCACAAAATAGAACTTGCACTCACCACGCTAGACATTGTTTGGATGAGCTCACCCCTGTGGCAGGCTTAGTCAGGTACAACCAGCTCTCCCAAATCTGGTATGAGGCTCAAGAAGATTCCTGTGAAGGGCCTGAAGCATCAACCTTTTCCTCTTCCCACACAAGGGTAGCCTCCATCAAGAACATTCCTCCCCCTCCTCTGGTCAAGACAAAATAAGCCACAGCACATAAACAGACACACATGATGATGCAAGGAAGATTCCAGAATGTGTTTATTCTGGTCAACATAGTCTGCAGATTTTGACTATAGACCATAGATTCAGCAGTCTGGGGAGGTTTTTGAGTAACAATCAGTATGGCTTAATTCAATAAGAGTAGCATCTTTTTAAAATATATTGTTTTGATATAAGGATGAAATAAATTTTATATAGTATTGAGTTACTATCTAATAAAATATTGATTAAAAAATCACTGCTCAAATTTGCTATTCCCTTGGTTGTGTTTTATGTTGAATTATTCTGTGGAGGATTCCCTTCTGCTTTGCTTTGCCTGTCTTTTTCTTGCCCACTTTAGAATACCTTCCTGCGCAGTGTTTTGGGGAATCTACCTCTTTATACAATGCTTGTTTGGCTCACTATCTTTTCTAAAGAGCAGCTTAATCAGACTTCAATGGATCTCAAACATACTCACCTATGGGATGTTAAATCTGATAGTTTTGGTTCACTGTTATTCTTTCCATTAATCAAAGTATTAATGCTATAGAAAGAAAAATCTTCTGTTAAAAGGGGGAAGGGTAAATTAAGCAAGCACCTGAGGAGCACAACTTTCAATTCTCTCTGTGACAAGGCTCTAACATCCCTCACTAACATGCTTGCTACCATGGTTTGTTTTCACGTCCTCCCATACAGTGCCAGACTCCCACCAGTGCAGATACTCCTGTGGGTGGGATAACAGGGGTGGAACATTAGGAACCACTGGTTTATGACTCTGTTCAAACTGGAGCCAGGTCACCAAATGGATGAGTCACAAATTATTCACTTCTCCAAGCCTCCGTTTCCTCATCTATAGAATGTAACAGTAATGACTGGCATAGTTTTCATGGCACACATTGATAGATACTTCTAAGGCCAAAAGCTAATTATTAGAAATTATCCAGTGAATTATGATTGTTATGTAATTAAACTTTAGAAGGGTCATGGAGAAAGCAAAGAGAAGTTGGTTGTCTCATTAATAGTTGAGCTGGAGTGAAGGAAATAACAGAGTGAAGGCTGTGCCGAGATAGTATACCGACTTAAGATTCTTTGGATCTGGGTACCATTGTGCCTCCTCACACTCCCTTGGCCCTCTGGCCCTCTTCTCCATCCCTTTCCATTCATCCATCCTTGATTTCAGTTCTTCTTATTGGGAAGGTAGCATATGACCTAGAATATAATATTTTACTAAGCAGTGTCTTCGTTAGGTTTCTATTACCATAAGTGATACCATAGACTTGATGATAAATGAAGAATGCAATTTTATTTATTTAGCTGAGATTTCTGACAATTGGGGTATCCAAGAGTATAACAGCAGTAGATGATGAAGGTCTTCTTCATAAGATATTAGGGGGCATCAAGTGACAAGACAGAGAATGCATTGCTTGGACCTCATTTTCTACTTACAAAGCCACAAATACCATTGTGACCTCATGGAACCCTGATCACCACTCAAGAGACCCACTTTAACATAGAATTAGCAAAAATAACTTTCTAACACATGAACTTTTGTTAAAAAAAAAAACACTCAAATCACAGAATTATTCCCCTGGCCCTGCAAATTCATGTCCTTCTGCCTATTCAACATCAGAAGTCCCAAAGTCTTAATTCAATTCAGCACTAATTTAAAAGTCTAAAATCTAGAGTCTCATTTGAATTAGATGTGAGATTCAAGGCTGGGTTAATACTGTGGCGAATCACGCCAGCTCTGAGCCTATGAAATCAACAGAAGTTATGTACCTCCAAAATAGTGGTGAGACATCCTCATTCCAAATAAGAAAAGGCCAAGAACTCCAAAACCGGACAGAGAAAATAACACTGTCTCATGTAAGAGAGCAGTCTCATTTGACTCCATGCCTCACACATCTATCTTTGTGCCCTTCCTGGGTTTGCCCATGCTTCAGCTCACTCAAGATGGAGCTTCCTGTCTGAAACTCTCCAAAACTGCCATTGTATCTCTATAATCCTGGATTCTCAGAGACACTCCCATGTCCACAGTTCCAGGAGGCATTGCCCTAGAAAGGGTTGTGTGTAGAGGTTCAACCCTTACTTCAGTGTTCTGCCTGAGTCTCTGGGCATCTCTGGGCCATGATGACATCCACTAAAATATATGCAGAGGAAGGCAGGGCCTCACAGCTCTTGCATTCTTCAGGCCTGCAGAATACATGACATCTACCTGGGGCTCCCTTCCAGAGCAGTGGGTGGGGTCTCATGTTACCAACAATCAGAGCAGGGATGATTTAGAGCAGACTTGGGGTAGCAGAGATCTGAGGCTCTCATGTGAAGTGAGTTCACGTAGGGTACCCTGGGTTAATGCTTTGAAGACATTCTGCCCACCTACTGCTTTGGTCTGTGATGGGAAGGACACACTTGATGGTCTCTGAAATGCTTAACAAGTCTCCAGTGTTCAATGATCCCTTCTATCCATGCTAATCTCCTAAGCAACAGGTCACCCAGGGTCACCCTTGGCTTTCACTCCTCAAAATGTTCATTTCTGCCACTCAGTCAGGCTAAGGACTTTTCAAATCTTTCTTTTCTCTTTCCCTTTTTATTATAAACTCATCTTTAAGTTATTTCTTTGCCCTCTCATTTTTTTCTTTAAGGCATTAAAAGCGACTTCATCATATAGCCTGAATGTTTTGCTGCATAAAATTTCCCCTGTACCAAATATTCTATCTTAAC